TTCATGAAAGAGTCTACCAGACATTCTGTAGGATGCAGAAGAATGTGACTGACAAATTGCCAATATAAGTGAAAATGCCTTTGAAATTTCCTGCCTAATGGAAAAATCTGCCAGATGCTATGGGCCTGTAGGTTGAAGATGTTACAGAAGAACTTTGGGTGACTGTCCAGGCAGCAAGATGTCTCTGTCAGGTCTAGAGTTTTGGAAGTTACTTACAATGCACTTCCTGTTTACTTAGGTAATATTATATCCTTCTGGAGTCTTTTATGGAGTTTAAGGTGTAATGTTATTTAATAAGAAGTCTAAGCTAATAGGCCAAGCAGTGTTGTAATTAATATAGTTTCTGTGTGAATATTTCAGGTCTGGGTGGCCAGAAGCAAAGGAGCAGAGTCTCCACCTACAATCATTGAGTATTTCTTCTATATCTTTCTTAACACTTTTTTCTAGTTAAGAATTTTAGAATAAGCATATATAAAGCCAATACCATGTAGAGAAAATTTCTTAGTCACTTAATCTTTACTTACCTTTGTATGTAATGTAATTCTAAAATTCATGCTTCATAATACATTAACAAATACAATAAAATTATAAGTTAACAAATTGCTTCCCATTTACCATTTCAAATTCTTTATTATAAAACCTATCAAAATAATATGATTAGCTTTCAAACCTGTGTTCACCCTCCAAAAACTATATAATGTCTATATAATGGTCCTCAAAGATAATTTCACATTTTAACTCACAGAACCGGTGAATATAACTTTATGTTACAAAGGATTCTTGAAAATATGGTTAAGCATCTTGAGGTGAAAGATATTTAGAGTCTAAATAGGCTACAAATGTAATCACAGATGTTCTTATAAGAAAGTGTTATGAAGAGATTTGTCACACACAGAAAAAAGAAAACAACATGGACATGAAGGTAGACATTGGATTGCTGTGACTACAAGCCAAGAAAGGTCAATGTCCGTGGAAAATTGGAATAAAAAAGAAAGTGCATTCTCCTTGAGAACCTGAGAGGAAGAATTACCCTTCTCAGTTCTGTTTTTCCCACAGTAAAATTTGTTTTCAACTACTGACCCCCAGAAATGGAAAAATCAATGTGCACTGCTCAAAACCTCAAGTTGGTAACCACCTGAGAAAACTAATAGACAAGTTGGTTACCAAAATACTTTTGGAATCTCAGTGATTAGATTGAAAAAAATATAAAATGAGAATTTTCATTTTGGTTTTTTTTTCTTGCTTGTTTGTTTATTTTAGTACACAGATGATGGGAAGCTGGATTTTTGAAGAGTTTTATTTGCTGACAGGTTTAGAGGCTAAAAGACCAAGAGTCAGCGGCACCACTTATTTAATCGCAAAATCGTTGTCCTAATTTGTCCTGTTGCTGAGATAAAACACAGAGGAAAAAAAACTTGAGGGAGGAAAGGACTTTATTTTCCCCCTTCAAGATTACAATGATAAGAGAAACCAAGACAGCAGCAACTCAAAGCAGGAACCTGGTCGTAGGGACTAAAACAGAGACCATGGAGGGATGCTGTTCAAAGTCTTGCTTGCTTCAGGTTCCTGTTCAGCTACCTTCCTTATATATATAAGATACGGCCCACTTGCCTACGGATTGTTACAGAGAGGTGCTGTTCATTGGTTTGCTCCTCATGGCTTGTTCAACCTGCTACCTGTCTTCCTCTCTTTCTCTCTCTCCTTCCTTCCTTCTTTCTTTTCCTTCATTTTTTTTTTCAACACAGGGTTTCTCTGTGTAATAGTGCTAGCTGACTTGAAACTAGCTCTGTAGACTAGGATGGCCTGGAACTCACAGAGATCCACCTGCCTCTGCCTCTCAAGTGAGTGCTGGGATTAATGGTGTGCACCGCCACCTCTCAGCCCCTGCTTTCTTTTAGAACCCAGGACAACCAGCCCAGGGATGGAACCATCCATCACTAACTACAAAAATGGAAAATACGTACAGGCTTGCATATAGCCTGATTTTATGGAGGCATTTTTGCCTTGATTGATGCTCCCTCCTCTCAAGTGACTTAAGCTTATGTCAAGTTGACATAAAACTATTCAGCACACTTAGGCATATTTTTAGGACAAGGGCATAAAGTAGCCACATCCTTGCCAAAATATCCCAAGTTATCTCTAGGCCATTTACTAATATTCCTTCTGCTCTGATACTTCTTCAGCTGTACTCCACAGTTCAAATCAGGCTCGGAACTGTTTCTGAGCTCCTACGAGTATGGTCCATTCAGACTCGCTTAAAGTGTTCTATCATTTTTCTACTTTAAAGTCCCAAAGTCTTTCATATTCCTCTAAAAAAGATAGTATGATCAGGCCTGTTACACCAATACCCAGTCCCTGGTACCAGTTTGTCTTAGTCACTGTTCTATTGCTGTGAAGAGACACCATGACTAAGGTAATTCTTATGAATTTTTTAAAAAAGCATTTAATTGGGGGCTTACTAACAGTTTCAGAAATTTAGTTTATTACCATGGTTTTTGAAACCTCAAAGCCCACCCCAAGTGATACACTTCTACCATCAAGGGCACACCTACACTAAGGCCATACCTCCTAATCTTTTTAATCTGTTCAAATGGTGCCATTCTCTGGTGACTAAGAATTCAAATATATGAGCCTATGTGTGACAGTCTTATTCAAACCACGACACACATGTGATCAAATACAGACCATATTTGTCTTTCTGGACTTGGGTTGCCTCACTCTGGCATTTGCAAATAAAGATTGTTTGTTCATTTAGTCGAGAGTTGTTCAGTTTCCATGACATGAAGCTTTCTGTTGTTGATGGTATCCAGCTGTTACTCTGTGGTGTCAGATAGGATAGAGTGTTATCACAATGTTCTTGTATCTGTCGAGACTTGCTTAGTTTCAGAACATCTGATCAGTTTTGGAGAAAGTTCCATGAGGTGCTGAGCAAAAGATGTATTCTTTTGCATTTTGGTGAAATGTTCTGTAAATATCTGTTGGGTCTATTTGGTTTATAATGTCTGTTAGTCCCAGTGTTTCTGTTCAGTTTTTGTCTAGATGACCTATCTATTGGTGAGAGAGATATTGAAGTCTCCCAAGATCAGTGTGTGAGGCTCTTTTTCTGACTTAAGTAGGAATTGGTTTTAGGGTGTTGAATAACATGATGAATGAGGAAGAAGTTTGGGGGAAAGGTCTATGTGACCCATTGTGGATGAAAGCCGAGAGAAGGCAGAGGACAAAGCTGTTTGGGGGTGAAACTCAGGGGGTTGGGTTTGGAGGAGAGGAAGGAGTGGTGAAGAACTGCAGTTAGTCTACCTGCATAATTGACCAGAATGACCAGGGTATGGCTCATTGTGGTTTTAAATGCATCGTTGGCACTTTCAGAGTGAAGAAAGTTGTACAGACAACCTAAGTACTATTTCCTGTTGTACAGCCTATCAATCTACTGCAGAACTTTACCTTGGTGTCAATAAAACCCTCAATTTTTAAATTTTCTTTCTCTGTGTGTACTTATGTGTAAAAAAAATGAGCTTGGTGCATGTGTGTGTGTATGCCTGACCTGTGCAGATATATTTACACATATGATCCTGAGATGACTTTGGGTGTCATACTCTACCACTGCTTGTCTTATGTCCCTGAGAAAGTGTGTCTCACTGAACCTGAAGTTCTAGAAACTATCCTGTTTCAGTCTTTCAACAGTGCTTGAGTTACAAGCCACGCCTAACTAGGATCCAATTTTTATCTGTGTTCTGGAATTTTTAATTCAAGTTCAATTGTTTCCACAGCAGGTATCATTAACTACTGTGCCATCTCTACAGCCTCAAAACTTCTGGTTTAAAAATAACAAAATATTTTAATGAACAAACTGTTATGAAATCAATCACTGCCTCGAGCAGTCTCAAAATGAGTTACATGTGTGATTACCAAGAAAACTGTATTTTGGTGGCTGTCCTCTTACCGTTCCCATGCCCCTTTGTGGTAGGTAGGTAGGTTTTCCCCACTGTACCAAAAGCTATCAGTCAGGTCACTTACCCATAACTGTGCACTAACAAAGGTATCAGATGCCTTGCCTCTATTTGAATGTCATTTTCACCGTACTCTCAGCATCCCCTCCCATTTAGTGTGCTTTTCTGAAGGACTGTGGGAATAAAGACTTCAAAGGAGATCAGTCCACGATATGTGTATGGCAGAAAACATCATCGCAGCTCCCTAACACTCCTTTATATAAAAAGTCCAGGTTGTTTTGCTGGGGGGCTTCATCCCAGCTCTTGGAATAAGACCCCTACCCAGGGAGGATCAAGACCACTCCCACAGACTGTTTAAACTGCGCCCCCCCCCACCCCCACCCCCAGAGGTTGAGAACGTGGTCTCCGGATTCAGGGCGCTCTCCCCTTTCCTCTCTTCCCCTCTCCATGGGGCCACCCAAGAGCATTACATTAAACATGGGCGTCTTTTAATTCAGTTTAATTTGGTCTGATTGGAATTATTTGCGTGGGCGGGGAGGATCGTCTAAGAAAAATATATTCCTAACAATATAGAAGGGCAGGAGTCAACTTATTCCATGATTTTAAATTTTAAATACACAATGCAAACTCATTGCCAATTGTACAGTTAGTAACAGTTCTGCTAAGTATCTTTGGAGCGCTTGCTTTGCAGAGGCATAAAGGGTGTCTCATGAGTAAATTTTTTATTAAGAAAAACTAAGCATGGGGGGCGGGTGGCATGGGGACCAACATACATAAAGGAACTACAGAAATATTTAACAAATTACCAGAAGAGGCGGGGACCAAAAGGGGAAACGGTACTGTTTGTAAGATCATATCACAAAGTATAAAACCAGAATGCCGAGAAAAAGCCGTCATAAAACACAGGCTATATGTAAAGCCTCTGAAGGGACCTGGAAGGGAACCACTTATTCCCAAACCCAGAGCCGCGAACGCCGAGCTTTAAAGGCGGATGCCGTAAAACTCGAGGCCTCTAGGCAGCCGGAGCGTCCTGCTTTGCGGCAGCGCCCGGCGGGAAAGCGAGGCGGGCGGGCGGTTGAAGAGTCCTCGCCCCGCCCCCGCCCGCTTTCCAGCGCTCGGAAGGAGGCTGAGCAGGCTGGGACCCAGCGCTGGGCGCCGCTTAACACCCACTCCCCGTCGCCGGCGTCATGGAGGCGGCGGTGGATGCCGAAGTCGAACCTGAGGATGGCGACAGCAGCTGCGCGGACGTGTGCTTCATGGACAAAGGCCTGCAGAGGTAGCTGCGGCCACCCGATGGGACCCCCTGGTCGGCTGGCTGAGGTGGCGGGGTCCTCCCTGTCCTCCCACCACAGCCCGGGACCCCCCCCCCCCTCCCAGCACAGCCCGGGGTCCTCTCGGTCCTCCCAGCACAGCCCAGGGTCTTCCCTGTCCTCCCAGCACAGCCCGGGGTCCTCCCTGTCCTCCCAGCACAGCCCGGGGTCCTCCCTGTCCTCCCAGCACAGCCCGGGGTCCTCCCTGTCCTCCCAGCACAGCCCGGGACCCCCTCCCCCCCCGCCCTCCCAGCACAGCCCAGGGTCTTCCCTGTCCTCCCAGCACAGCCCGGGGTCCTCCCTGTCCTCCCAGCACAGCCCGGGACCCCCTCCCCCCCCCCCGCCCTCCCAGCACAACCCCGGGGTCCTCTCGGTCCTCCCAGCACAGCTCGGGGTCTTCCCTGTCCTCCCAGCACAGCCTGGAGTCCTCCCTGTCCTCCCAGCACAGCCCGGGACCCCCTCCCCCCCCCCCCGCCCTCCCAGCACAGCCCGGGGTCCTCTCGGTCCTCCCAGCACAGCCCGGGGTCCTCTCGGTCCTCCCAGCACAGCCCGGGGTCTTCCCTGTCCTCCCAGCACAGCCTGGAGTCCTCCCAGCAAGCCCGGGGTCCTCCCTGTCCTCCCAGCACAGCCCCGGGTCCACCCTGTTGTCCCAGCACAGCACGGGGTCCTCCCTGTTCCGACTGGTTTTTAATTTCCTGTGCACGAGGCACCATTAGACGGTCGTCCATATACTTGTTGAATGTACCACACAACTCTTCTAGCTGACCCTGTTTCGTGGTACCCAGACCATTCAGTGCTTTTGTAAGGATCCTAGACTTTTCCTTTTTTTTCCTAATTTCTTTTTGTTTATCCCTTTCACGTCATACATTTTGATCCCATTCATTTCTCCATTCCTTAGCATCCACCCTGCCCTTGCAGCCCCCCAAAATAAAAGAAAACTGTAGAGAAAAAAAGGAAAAAATTAAAAATCTCGTCATCGAAGTTGTAGTGTGACATAGTGAGTCACCCAGTGAATCTCTTTGTCCATGTGTCTTGCTTACAAGTGTTCCTTGCAAAGAGCCTTTGGACTGATTCGAGGCCTTTGGTTTTTACTACACCATCAAAGCTGGGTCCTCACCAAGACTCTTTGGATATCTTGTTATAGGTATTTTCACTGCAGGAGTCTCCCTGTCTTTATGGGGGTGCCCTACTCTGTCCATGAACCTTGGCATTTATAATGTTTAAAACAGCTTAGTCTGGCTAAATCTGCAGTTTGTTAGGGAAGAGATTTTTCAAAGGAATGCTTGTATTTATATTTAACAATGGTTATCATTTCCAGGATGTTGTCTGTGTGAATGTTATATATCATTACTAATGCCCACAGCAATTCTGCAAAGTCGCTTTTCTAATAAGCAATGGATATGGGATTTTCTATTTTAGATACATTATATAATTTCTGACACTGCGACCAGTGAACAATTAAATTCAGCAATATTCATTTCTGATGTGTCAGAAAACATGGTTATTAAGAGCATATGGTAATTGCACAAGATCTGGCCCTGAATAATTCTGTAAATGATAGAAGCTAAATAACTGGCAAATATATCAAACAGGCATCTTTAGAAATTGGTGATTTGAGGTCTGAAAATGTTTGCTTGCTGCCAGTTAGTTAGTAGGTTCCCTGCACCTTCATAGTAGCCAGCACAACCACAACTGTTGCGTGTGCTGTTCCTGCGCACATTCATCTAGCACATCTGCCCTGTGCGCTGTAGTTCAATGGAACTATTTCTGTGTTCTACTATGCAAGTTTCACTTATAAGTGGTAATTGAGGGAGTAGAAAGATGATTTCTGTTTAGAGGAAATGTGTTCTAACTTGCAGTTAGAGCAGACAAGAGTCTTCCCACTAGGAAGAGCAATAATTAGTGATTTTCTTAGATATCAACTAAATTCTAGACTGACTAGCTATCATAGACCTTAAAGTAATTAAAGTTAGAAGCTCATGCATTTAATGTTGATTTATGTCAGGTTGATTTTTGTCTGTTGGTTTGTTTAATTGCCATAAACTGCTTAAGAGTTGTGAAAATTAAATGAGAAAAGGGCTTAAGAGTTGTGAAAATTAAATGAGAAAAGGGAACAGCTTTAAAGGTTACAGTTGCTCATTCTTAGCTATGAGAAGAGGAAGAGTCAATTTTCTCTAAGAATGCCACCACCCCTAATAAGTCTACCGATGATGTGAGATGTCTTTCTGTATATGTGTTGCTTTTATTGGTTAATGAATAAAGCTGTTTTGGCTAATGACTTAGCAGAGTATAGTGAAGTGGGAAATCAGAACAGAGATGGAGAAAGTAGGCAGAGTCAAGGAGATGTCATGTAGCTAGCTGCCAATGAGAAAGATGCTACAGCCACCGGAATCTTTCCGGTAAGCCACAGCATGTGGCAATACACAGGTTAATAGAAATGGATTAATTTAAGATAGTTAGCTAAGAATATACCTGAGTAATTGGCCAAGCAGTGCTGTAATTGATATAGTTTCTGTGTGATTCGGGTCTGAGCAGTCTCCATCTACATTCCATACTCCAGTGGAAGACTGCACATCCAAGGATATTTTGCAGCTCAGATTGGCCTTGGTTGTGGAAACAAACCAAAATGGACAAAGTTGAGTAGGAAAGGAAGAGAGAATGGGTTAGGAAGAGGTGAGAGAGAGTAAATATGATCAAAATACATATGTATGAAGAACTTGAATGAAGTTCTTAAAATACATATACAAAAGAAGCAAAACAGAGAGGTATGCTAACATTCAGGAGCTTTTCTACTTACTGACTGTTGAAATTTCCCTTACTCTATACGACAGTGACTTTGCATATGCAAGCTGAAAGTACCCAGAGTTACTCATCCTTCTGTGTTTGTATAAATGAACCAAAATGTTAGTATGCATGGTAATAAAATATTGCAAGGAAAAAAATAGGAAGGACTTTTTTCTAAAGTCAGTAGACAATGTATTCATTATAATCTGCTACTTGATTAATTTTAACTATTTGGTCATGCTTTAAAATATGTTTTCATAACATTTTCTTTTATAGTATATCAGAGTTATCTTTAGATTCATCCCTTCATGCCATCAATCTGCATTGTAATAACATCTCCAAGATCACATCCATTGATCACATTTGGAACCTACGACATTTAGATCTGTCATCTAATCAAATAAGTCAAATTGAAGGACTGAACACACTGACAAAACTATGCACTTTAAACTTGTCCTGCAATTTGATCACAAGAGTAGAAGGTTTGTAAACTATTATATGTAGTATTTTGTGTAAATGAAAATGAAGAAAACTATGTGCATTTGTTTTCTTCCAGTGAATGGAATTAATAGAATCATAAAATTTTGAAAATTGACCATAAAACCTACTATGAATTTGTTTTATTTTCCCATAAAACTGTCTTTTAAAAGCTAAATACACACACACACACACACACACACACACACACACACAAAACCCAGCAGTTGATTTCACTGTATCAATCTGAAATGGTGCTATGTCTCTTTATTTAAACCTTATAAAAGCTATGTTTTATCTCCCCCTGCCCCATTTTTAGGACTTGAAGCACTGGTTAATCTGACTAGACTGAATTTGTCTTATAATAATATAAATGATCTTAGTGGTAAGTAGACGTGCTTATATTTCTATAATGCTGAAGCTTTACAGTATGTTAGGACTTAGCTCAGTGTTGAGAAACTCCAAATAATAGTGATGTTTTGACCAAGGGTTTTATCCAAATGATGTATTTCTATCAAAACCATTGTTGCTGCCAAAACCATACCCATGTCAAAAGTAGAGATAAAGAAGAGGATGATCAGTAGCAGAAAAAGCTAAAGTGAGGAAAACCTACTTTCGGATGCTATACTTAATCTTAAATAGTTAACCACTATAGTCACATAGAAAGAGGTAGTTACAGTAAACCTCTGACAGTGATAGAAACTTTCTATATCTGGTGCCTTCTCGTGTGGCTGCCAGTAGCCAGGTATGAAAATTGACATGAAATATGACTGGTTGGGCAAGGGACTGAATATTTAAATTTTAATTTAAATATAAAAGCTACTAATGACTATGACATTGCACAATACAGACATGAAGGACTGCAGGGACTTGTATCTTAAAGGTTAAAGTCATTTATTCAGGTGGTCAGCATGCCTGAGAAGGTTTTGAAATTGTTACATGTTTTTTATTAAAGGGATATAACTAATAAAATTTCAAAATTCTTAGGATTACCAGTTAGAACTAACAAAATTTCACTAATCTCATATGCTGTCTTAAAAAATTTTTTCCCCTACTTGTTACAGGGTTGATGCCTCTTCATGGACTGAAGTATAAACTTAGATATATTGACCTACATAGTAATTGTATAGATAGTATCCATCATTTACTTCAGTGTACAGTCGGCTTGCACTTCCTAACCAATCTTATTTTAGAGAAAGATGGAGAAGGTAATCCTATCTGTCTTGTACCAGGTAGGTAGTAGTTAATTTAATATGATGCTTTTCTTCTGAATTTGGTGTTCATGACCCACTTTCATTTCAGTCTTAAGCTTTGCAGTTTTAGGTTTTTGCTTTTTGTTTGTTTGTTTTTAGTATGTTTAGAAAAACATAAAGAATTTATTGGAAAATAACCCTAAATTGCTTCTTTGTTAAAAGTATAAAGGATAAACAGGCCTCTCCTTCCTTTCTTCCTTCCCTCCCTCCCCCCTCCCTCCCTCCCCCCTCCCTCTCTCCTCCCTCCCTCTCCTCCCCTCCCCCCTTCCTCCCTCTCCCATCCTGAGACAGTATCTTTTTTAATTCAGGTTGGCTTCAAACCATGAACCCTCCCTCCACTCTCTAAGTGCTGGGATTGCAGTTATGCACTGTATGAATATATTACATTATTAATTGTGGCTTTTGAAAGTTTAAACTTACATGTTCATTTCACAGCACCCACATGGTGCCATTCATAACTTGAATTTCAGGTCAGTACCCTTTCTTCACCTCTGTGGTCACCAGGAATGCATGTGGTACATGCATACATAAAAGCAATACTCAAATGCATAAAATAAATCTTTAAAAGAAGTTCAAGCACTGATTTGCTACATTTCTATCTCTCTTTTGAGGTCTTTCCAACCAATTAATTGAACCTTCTGAGAAATATTTAGTATTGAAATTACTTGAGGGATTAGTTAGATGGTGTACCTTGTCACCATCCTGATGACCTGAGTTCAGTTCCTAAAACCTACATGGTAAAAGAAGAAAAATGACTCTCACAAGCTGTCCCTTGACCTATACATGTTTAAAAAAAAAAAGAAAAAAGAGGGAGGGAGGGAGAGAAAAAGAGAAATTGGTTGAGGACTTAGGTAGATGGCTCAGTGGTTAAGAGCACTGGCTACTTTTTGACAGGATCTGGGTTCAAGTCCAGTACCTACATGATGACTCACAACCGTCTGTAACTCCCATTTCTGACTTCCTTTAAGGTAGGAACCAGGCACACACATGAACAGACATACATGCAGCCCAAATGCCTTTACATTTTTATTGTTAAAAAAAAAGGGAAGAAATTACTTGAGTAAAATTTAATATTAGTTTCTATTGGATTGTATACCATTGTAATGTTAATTTGGCAGTTTTCTTGTTTAATTCTTAGGAAAAGTGAATATTTTTGTCTTAAATAGTTGATTTTGCATATTCTAATATTATGTGTCATTAAGAAGAAAAGGTGGGATATTTCACTAATATCTCACTATGCCACTCCAATTGCCATTTTTTCTTACCATTTTATGATGGTCATATTAATATAAACAAAAGACCTGCTTATCTTCTCAGAGTAAAATGCTGTTGATTTCATACATTTATAATCTCAAGGTAATTTTTCAGACCAGATGGTTTCAGTGATTTGACTTTACCAGGAATGGTATTTGGGATGGGGTGGGAGATGCTTTGCCTCTCTTGAATTTACTGATTGTGTGTTGAAGATGCTGAGTACATAATGTTATTGTCAGTGCTTCATCAGACTGACTTTCTTGTTCATGCAGAGTATACCTACTAGCTTGGTTTGTTCTAGAAATAATCTCTTAAAGTATTTATGCTTTGGTTTTGAACTCTGTTTCCAAGGGTACCGAGCTATCATTCTCCAGACTTTGCCACAACTGAGGATCTTAGATTGCAAGAACATTTTTGGTGAGCCAGTAAACTTGGAAGAAATAAACTCATCACGCCTACAGTGCTTCGAAGGACTTTTGGATAACTTAGTTTCTTCTGATTCCCCCCTGAATATAAGTGAGGATGAGGTAGAGTATTGGTGGTTTTTCTTAGAGAAAAGATACCTTCAAGTGTTAATGGATCAGAATATGAACTTTAAGGATTCGGGTTTGTTTCTGTGCCTTAGGTCGTTGACAGTATGCCAATGGCAGCACCGCCCATGGACGTATTACCTCCTTTGGAGCAATTCACCAGCACACCAGAAGATAATGTTTTGACCTCGCTCTTATCTGTGTGTCCATCTTCTGAACCAGAAAAAATTAATCATGAAAACGATTTTCAGAATGAAATGAAACTTCAGAAATTAGATGATCAAATCTTACAGCTTCTCAATGAAGTAATTTTATTTTTATTTTTCTGAAGGCTAATATGTTTATTAAAGAAAAGGTAGTTAAGAAAGTATGAAGTAGAAATTTGACCAACCAAAAGCATCATATTGACTATATCTGTATTTTTGTTTTCTTTACAGAAATAGAATTACCTATAGTAACAGTGGTAGAAAACAGTAGGATGTGGGTTTTTTTTTTTTTTGACTCATTTTCTTGTTGCCTTCCTTCATGAGTATCAGTACTGGTATTGCCAATAATATTTTATTGTTTTGTGAATGTAGCATCAATTAATAGATATTTGACTATGATATATGATTATGAGCATTATAGTCAAGTTTTGATTTCTCTTTGCTGTGTACCTACATGTTGCTTATCCCCATCTTACCTTTTGGGTAGGAGTTGCTGGAACATCCCATGTCCCTAAGACATGTTCATGAGAGTTCTAGTTTACCTTTTTTAAGATGTGGTCTTAACTGTGTAACACAGACTGACCTTGATGCTTCTGGAGCTCTGGATTACAAGCATATACCAATATACCTTGCTCTCATGTGCCTTTTTCATTGTAAATCTTCCTTTTGACTCTTTTGGAATATATCCTGGACACAGAATGTTATGTGTCTTAGATTCTGTTAGAGTCTTCTAAAAAATGTTGGCATTCTTATATTTAGCATTAATTTGATTTGACTTAAAACTCTAATTTTGTCTAAACAAGTATTAGTTCATATTTCATTTGTTTTTAGAAATTGCCTTTTATTACCTCTTGTTTTTAACTCAAAAGATTTTCCTTTTTATACTTGACTATTATAGTTTCTCCATAGAAAACTGATAGTCTCAGATTGAAACATTGTCTATTCTGGTCCATTTTGCAATTATCAGCTCCCATGTAGACTAGTCTTACCTTTTTATCACTTTGATGTCTTTAGTTTTAACTTCTATTTTTGTTTTGCTTCTTTTTCATTTTCCCAGAGTTTATAATTGTCTGTAAAAGAGTTGAGCTACTGAAAGCTCTTTTTTTCTTTTTGTGCCAGAACTGAATTTCTTGCCTTCAGTTTCAAAGAGATACAATTTATACATCTTTAGTCTTATAAAATGTTTTAATATTTAAGAAGACTTTAAATTTTAATTATACTGAACAGAACTTTTAACAGGCTTTATATCTTTCTTTCTTTCTTTCTTTTTTTTATGTTCTTAGACTTCTAATTCTTTAATAGATAATGTTCCCGAGAAAGACCTCGGACCAAAAAGAGACGCAGACATAACATCTGAAAGTGACTATGGGAACAGAAAAGAGTACAGTCGAAAAATTCCTAGAAGAACAAAAATCCCATATTATGCCAGGACTATTCAAACTATTAAACATCACAATAAAAACAACGGTGCATTTGTAAGGTACATGCTTGGTCTTAGTGAGCAAATGAGGTTACGAAGGCAGGAGCAGCTGACTGACTTCTTGGCTCACAATGATAAACCTGTCAGTTTTATCATCAAATTTTAGGGCATAAACCTAACCCTTGCCCCCAGTCCTACAGTTTCTGCATCCATGGATTTAACCCACTACTGAACAAATAAAATCAAACAAAAGAATTATATGTTTACTGACATGAACCATTTATTAGGTTTAAAATTAATTGCTTCTGATTGAACATTCACAAACTGTTTTTTCTTGTCATTATTTCCTAAATAATGTAGTATAATATATAGATTATTTTAGGTATGATGGCAGATATTGTATTGTATATAAAAATTAGTCTAGACAACTTAATATATACTCACACAACTATGCCATTTTATATAATGGACTTGAGCATTTAGATATTTTGTTATTTGAGGTTGGTTCTGGAACCAATCCCTGCAGAAAGTTAAGAATGGTGTATTCATATAAAAGATTGCTTTCTCTTTGTACTTAGCAAAGTTGAGAAATTAATACAAATACCAAAATGCCACTGTATTACTTACAGTGGGAAGAAAGGCTAAAACACTTGAGTTTTCCTGACAAGTTTCTACTCTATATGTAGGCTCATTTAGCCAGAAGGCCTAGCTAACCAGTACCAACTAAGCAAATGTAATGATTACGTTTTTGACATGAGGATTTAGAAATCTGATGTCTGTATTTTCATTGCAGAGATATCAACCTTGCTAGTTGTTTAAAAAAAGACTACACTTTTTGCCTGCATAATTCTTTTCTTAAATGTTTGTTATTTAAATTCTTTATAGTGATCCAATTATACTTTCATGTATAAAACTTACTCAGTCCTCTTAATAGTAAGAATATACTTCTTAATACTCTGGCTAACGATAGAATCTGTTTATTATGCTATATTGTGTCAATTTTAAACTTTAAAGTACCATAGGGTATTTAAATCATGTTTTCAAATTTTTATATTAGAAATCATAGTCTATTTCATCTTGAATATGTTGAAAGACTACACATAAAAAATCATAATCTTTTTAAAATTCTTGACTCTAAATAGTGAGTCAACAAAGCACATCCATTGTGAAATTTATGAATTAGCTTGTCCAATTAACTATTACCTTACTTAATACATTTTTTGTTTAAAAAATTATTTGCCGTATATGTGTGGGTGTTTTACCTGCATGTATGTCTGTACCGTGTCCTGGTGCCCACTAATGAACAGAAGAGGCATCAGATCCCCTGGAACTGGGTCACAAATTGTTGTGCTGTTGTGCCATGCGGGTACTGGAAATTGAAACCAGATCCTCTGGAAGGGGAGCTAATGCTCTTAACCACTGACCCATCTCTTCACACCCTTACTTAACATGTTTTCTAACAATATTACTTATATATGTAACTAGAGGTGTTTGTATTGCAAAACTGTACTTTGGATTATTCTCTGCGTTTTATTCTTTGCAGTTGTAATCGCAAAATGAGACAGCCTTACCTTAAAGATTTATATGTAAGATCGTCTTTAGTTAACTGTAATGTTTTAAGAGACTTAGACGAGCAGAAGACTGACATAATTAAAGTAGACAAAAGTGTCTCGGACGACAACACTTACCGGGTACGGTTTAGAAAGTTAAGAAAAACTTAGATATAAAACCCTAGAAAGTTAACCATTCTTTATGAGCAATAAATGTTTTGTAGTTTTATCACTGATGGGAATTGGCTTTTATGCTTCCTCATTTCCAGACTTTGTGTAATATTACTGCTTTTACATTTGCTAACGATGAGATCAGTTGAAATGATGCTACATTCTTGTGGCGGAGTATCCATTACGAATTTTCCAGCTCCTTTTTCCCAAAGAAATAGTTCCTAGTTTAAGGGTGATACTGTATTATTTCAAATATAAAGATAAATCTTCATGTTTTTCTCAAAGAAGTATGCTGTATAACTGTCTTGTTGGTTGTCCTAAAACCCAATTTTGGAAAAGGATTCAGAGATGCTTAAAATATTTTAAAAAATTCAAGACTTGCTGATTGTATTAGATAACTTTGCCCTTATTTTATATGTTTGAGTACTGGTTATTCTACTATGCTCTGTAAAACAATGTGCTCTAATAGTCGGATTGCCTTCTATAATTGTCATGACCCTAGCAACTGACATTCATTTGATACGGTTGTGTACCCAGCGCTATTCTGCGCTGTTCTTTGTGCTTTGAATTCATTAACTCTCATCGTAGCTTTTTATAGCAGGTACTCTTATTATAAAATAAATGAAAAGACTGAGGCAGCAAGAACTTGGGTAACTTTTTCAAATTCACAAAGCATTGCTATTTTCTTTTAGTCCCTCTTGGAACAGTTAGACCAAGAGAGAGAGATGAGGTGGAAAGCTGAGCAAGCTGAAAAGAAACTTATGGATTATATCGATGAGCTGCTTAAGCAAGCAAGTGAGAAAAAAGATGTTCACAGCCTGGCTCTCATTACCACAGACAGGTAAGACAAAATATGCCCTTAAAGATGTCCCTCAGAGCTTGAAGATTACTAGACGTGGAACCAGGAAAAATTAGGGGGAATGAATACATTTGACTTTCACTTGATTTTAAGATTTAGTGCTTTCTTGTTACATAAATGGGGAATTTGGGGTACATGTAGTTGACCACTTGTACTGGGAAGTGTCAGGTGGGTGAGTATTATACATAAACAATGAGATAAGATTTTGTGGGGTGCGGTGACTTGCTTTGTAGAGTACCATATTTATAAAGGGCTGGCACTGGCCATTGGCACATTTCTCTTTAAGGTTTATGAATCCTAGTCTCTGTTTATGTACTCACTTTCTGCTAGGTTTGGTAGTACCACATAGCCCAAGTTTCCTAATTCTTTTCTTATTTTTTCTTGTCTAGTCTGTCTCCTATTTGTCTGAGGGTTTTTATTTTAATGTTCCTCTATCTTATTTCATTATGTGAAAATACATTGATTTCTATGGTTAATTCTGACATGATCCCTTTTATGAAATAGTTATTAAGTTTCTTCTCTAGAGTTCCTTTCAGATTTTTTGTTTATTTGGTTGGTTGGTTTTTATTTTTTGTTTTGTTTGTTTTTCTTATCTCTAAAAGAACACTAGGTCTCCAGACTTGCTATTGGCCATAAGTGGATTGGGAAGTTGCTACTAGTTCAGTTTTGTATCTGTAGCATGGATACTTCCTCCTATAAAATCTTTCCTGAATGCTGGGCAGTGGTGGCATAGGCCTTTAATCCCAGCACTCAGGAGGCAGAGGCAGGTGGAATTCTGTGAGTTTGAGGCCAGCTTGGTCTACAAAAGACAGGCTCCAAAGCCACAGAGAAGCCCTGTCTTGAAAAAAAAAAAATAATAATAATCTCTTCTGAATATCAAATTGAGGTACACTGTTTCCAACCTGATCCCTAATTTATTTTAGACATTTGGTTTTATAATACTGATACTTAAAAAACAAAATCCTGTCCTACCTGCTTGTTTTATATGTTGTACTTGTGTGATAGGAAAAAAGAAACCACGCTAAACATGTACAGTGAGAATCTTTGTTGCTGCACATTTTTGGCACTCTTGTGTGAGTGCCTCTGTCAGTTTCCTGCCTTATTTGTGTTTGAGGGATCACTGTACTGAATATATGGAAGAAAATCTCCCGGGGGCCTAGAGTTCCAGCCTCAGCACCCCTCATGGCTCAGAATAGGATGTTTATTTAAGGCAAGTGAAAATCTGAGGGTTAAAAAAATTAACTCAAGTACATTACTGCTACATGTTCTTTATTCCTTTGCATGAAGAAGCAACAAGAAGAAAAAGAAGAAGGGGTGATCTTCATGAGGTTTCTGTAGTTGGAAAATTCCATAGGGAAGGACAATGATAATATGCATAAGGAAGGGAATAAGGCTCAGAACAGCCTCAAGAGCAGAGCCCTGTTACATGACAGGATTATAGAGATCGAGGATGAGTCACGGGGACACTATTGAGGATAGGATTCCTCTTCAGGATAAAACCAAGCTGTTTTAGGGGTTGTTTTATTACATTTTATTTCCTTTGCATTATAGTTGAAATTCCTTTTAGTGTTGGCTTTTTGTTTGTTTGTTTGTTTAGTTTGGTTATGTTGTGTTGTGTTGAGTTTTTGAGGCAGCATCTTACTACATAGCTCTGGCTGGACTGGAAATCACTAAGTAGAGTAGTCTGGCCTTGAACTCAAAAGAGCTTTAGTGGTCTCTGCCTCCCAGTGCTTGGAATACAGGTGTGGTCCTCCAGGCCTGGTTTGGCATACTTTGTCTCTTGTTTGGGGCTATATGTGAATAATTTTTGTTTTATTTCATAGTATAGGTATTAATTAAATACACTTAATAGAAACTAATCTCAACTGCTCGCTGGATTTCATTGAATTTGGGATGTTTGAAACACACTTCCTTTCTAGCTCTATACAGTCTCTCGTTTGTACCTGATGTCAATGGTCCATGTTCATTACTGTCTTGAGAAGTCAGTCTCAGTTGTTCTGACTCCGCTTTTATCTACACCCATGTGTGTTTGGTATCTTGAGATTAATGCTTCACAGCTCTTGATGTTATTGTGTGTATCTTGTATCCATCACCTAGTCTGAAGGCTAGGGATCATACTATGAATAATGTTATGTCAACAGAGTAAATCTCATTTATTATAGTATCTTTATTGTTCCAACCTCTTTGGACAATAGACTTGTTGATCTAATGAGTTAGCAGAGTGCCTTTCCTATATTTTGTGTGTTTTCAGGTTAGCCCATCCTGAGAAAGGAGCATCTTGCTTCTTACTCTGTATTCTTTACTTAGTAAATGGTGTGCCATTAATATTCTGTCAGCTTCCAAAACTAGAAATAATTGTTCTACCACCTTTTTCTCAAAGCCAATTGTTATCAATATATTCTTGATTCTGAATCTTAAATTATACATCTCCTCTGATACTGATCTCCCTTGAGAGCGGTGACTATACCTTATTTATACCGAATGCTTTTAAAAACTTCACATCTAGCCCACAGTTGAGACACACTAGGGGTAAAGTATTGCTGTGAAATAATAAAGTTTATCTAAGTTTCTTTAATTTGTGACCAATGTTTTTCTGTTACAGCAAAATGTTAGTTTCAGAGTCGGGACAAATGCATATATTACTTCAGATACTGATCACTATTTTAAGCCTTAACATTGATTACAGTTTTCATTATTTTTGTACATGTAACATTCTTACGATTGCATATATAATTTATGCTTCAGGCTAAAGGATGTTATTTTTAAAGAGAGACATTCCAAGGCTCAACTTGAAATTATAGTTCACAGACTTCAAAATGAAGTTAAAAAGCTAACTATTGAACTAATGAAAGCACAAGATCAACAGGAAGATCACATCAGACACTTGAGAACCCTGGAAAAGGCATTGGAAAAAATGGAGAAACAGAAAGCACAGCAGCAGCAGGCACAGGTATCCGAATGGATCCATGATGTGGATGAACAGATTCATGGCTTCCTCCCTGAACCTAATTGAATATTATAGTAAACTCAAAAGTTACCAGGCTCTGTGCAGAAATTAAGTCACTGTTGTTTTTTATATAGCATTCACACAGCCTGTGGATTGTGTCTTTATTCTACCAGTACTTACATAAAGCAATTATAAGAGTTGACAGAAATATTGCAGGTAGGTAGGCTCATATTTTTGAGAGATAGCTTTCAAATCCGTGAGGTACTTGAAAGAGTTTTCACTTTCATGCTTTTGTCATGGAACCTGTCAAAACATGTGATGCAAATCAATAATAATTGATGTCAGTATATTTGATGTTTCAACTTGGTCTGACAATATCATTCTTAATTCAGTAAAGTTTGAAAACAGCTCAGTTATCAAGTCATGCCATTTAATCAACATTTAGAGGAGCTGCCATAAAATACAAGTTGGTAGTTGTAGGGGTGGCCATGAAGCTCTTAAGTCTGCCGGCTTTTCTGTATAAGGACTTTCCCTTTTCTCTCAGATACTGATCTTAGTCATGTTCTCCCTAACGTGCTGAATGTCGGCACACCCAAAAGCACTCTCACTCACCATGTGTCTGGCAGCCTGCTTGTTTAACCTCTGTACCTAACTCCAAAAGGCATGACTTTTTCCCCTTCTCCATCTTCCCCCTCCAGGTAGCTGCCAGGGTCTACAGCTTGCCTGCCCTGTGGCTTTTCTTTTAAACTAATGAAACTGCCCTTGGCCTTTAAACAAACTAACCAAATATAAAGTACAAGCAGGCAGTGACTTTTAGTGCTATATGTACCATATGTATGACACACAAATGAGACTACAACTAACTTTAGACCAAGAGGCAGGGGGATAATTGTGGGACTGTTGTAATCCTTTGTACCTCATTCAGATGAGACTTATCCAAGAGGTGGAGCTCAAAGCCTCGGCTGCTGATCGAGAAATAAACTTACTTCGAACTTCTCTTCACCAAGAAAAGGAGCAAGTGCAACAGCTTCATGAACTTCTGGCATTGAAAGAAGAGGAACACAGGTGAATGAAACGTATCAAGACAATATTGATATTCATAAGTATAAATCGAAATTTCTGGTTCTGTCCACCCTCCTTCCTACCCAGCAATTGACCATTTAGTGACGTCTGACAGAATTAACTCATGGAGGGCTGACAACATGGCTTAACACCAAAGCCTGACAAGTACGGTTCCTGGGACCCTTGTGACACAAGGAGAACCTGCTCCTGCAGGTTGTCCTATGACATCTATGTATGATATAACACGTAATCTGTCAGCCAATCAATGTAGTGAAAAAAAGGAGTAAAATCAGAATTAACTTAAGAAAAAAAACATATTTGCACCTCTATTAAATTCAGTCCTTTAGAAATAGCAGCTGAAAAACAAATGTGTGGCTTTGGTGTCATCATGAAAAGAAGATTCTTATAAATAATGCACCTTATTTCTACATTTCTTCAAGCTTAACAAAAATTGCCCATCCTGTAGAGAGGTAGCTGTTAATTTCCAAATAACTATTGTAAGACTACTCGGTATTTATTCTTTAAACCAGTAGACTATGAACTTTCTCTGTCTATACATTTTTGTGTTTTAAAGCAAAGAACTGATCTTCCATTAACCTTAGGTGATGCAAAATGTTAATGGCTATTTAAAGACCTTTGAATTCTTATTTTCATGAACTGCATTGCTTTGGTTTCCATTCCAGGAAAGAAATTGAAACTAGGGCGTTTTTCAGTGATGCAGAGTTTCAGGATGCACTAGCTAAAGAAATGTCCAAAGAAGAAAGAAAGCATGAGCAAGAAGTAAAAGAATACCAAGAAAAAATTGATATATTAAACCAGCAGTATTTGGATTTAGAAAATGAATTCCGTATTGCTTTAACTGTTGAAGCCAGAAGATTTAAAGATGTAAGAATTGATGTGTAGTTCTGTTGATAAGAGAACCACATTTTAGAATCTTACAGTCTTTCCATCTCTGTTAATGCTATTCTCAGTCTTCTAAGTGCTTATGCCAAAAACTAATGCCAACATTGACTCCCTTTTCTCTGATACTCCATAATGAGTACCTTCCGAGCTTTTTGTAGTGTTATTTTTAGAATATAGTCTTTCTTACCAACTTTGTATTAACATGTGAGTTAGATGTTATACCACTCCTCAACTAATTTGCCTTTCCATTTTATTCAGAAGGATAATCAGAACCCTGTGTTGTAGCTGACTTCATGTTCTTGCCATTTTCCCCTTTCTTCATGCTACTCCCATCACATGTGTTATACTGTTCCTTGAAGCACTTCCTGCCCAGACACCTTCCCTGTACATTTACATTCTTGTTGTCTGCTGGTAACTTCTCAATAACAATGTCATTTAAAATTGAACATTCCTCTTACAGTACTTTACATCCCTCTAAGCTTACGTTTTCTATATAGTTTCATGACGCATAGTTTCTTCCTGTTGGTATACTGCTAGTCTCTAACTACTACAAGACAATTTAGTCTGTTTTCTCCATTAGTAAGTACACTGCAGTGCCAAACAGTGGCTGACCTATAGCAACTGCTCAGTGAGTATGTGTCATACAAATGAATCTTGGTTCTTACACTCACTACTTAGTTTCTTGGGTAACTAAACAAATGAGGAGCAGACCCCTTGGGTCTGTGTTTTATCTGCTGGGAATTAGTAGATGGAAACAAACTACCTCTGATTTTTGTTTTGCTAAAATGCAAGGTTTTTAAATGAAAATTGTAAACTGTTTCTAGGTGCAATATTTTCTATTTGGGAAGCTGCTGTTTATAATATGATTTTGAAATATAGGTTCAAGATGGTTTTGAAGATGTTGCAACTGAGTTAGCCAAGAGCAAACATGCTCTTATTTGGGCTCAACGCAAAGAAAATGAATCATCATCTTTAATTAAAGATCTGACCTGTATGGTGAAGGAACAAAAGACAAAACTCTCAGAAGTCTCCAAATTGAAACAGGAAGCAGCCGCGAATTTACAGGCAAGAGTCTGGAGTGTCATTTCCTTGGAGCTTTCGCATCACCTCAAGTGTGAGCAGTGCAGTTCAGGGTACTCAGGATTAATTTGGAGATGTTCTTGATGAATGTATACCTTGTGAAGTTAATGATTTCATAGATGATATTGCTTTCATCAAAATATCTAAGCGTGTCAGGTATAGTGATGCACACTTTGAGCCCAGCTCTTAGGAGACAGAACCAGTCAGAGGGATCTCTGAATTAGAGTCCATCCTGGTCTACATTTTGAGTTCTAGACCCTTTGGGCAAACATAATGATACTCTGTCTCAAAAAAATAAATAAAATATGTAAATAAATTACTTAAGTAAATTTACTTTTATGAAGGTGTTACCAGTTGCACGTCATACTCAAAGGTGTTAAGGTTTGAGAAGTGCCACTTGTGTTAATGGTATTAATTAGCCTTTAAATTCATGTCTATTAATATTTGCATTCTTTCACCTAAGAACTCAACTTTTGTAAAGTTAAAGATAATTTAAATATTTCATGAGAAATTTTGACAATTGTAGGTTCAGTTTTTTTCTTTAACAATTATAGAGTGAAAGCTTTAGAAAATAGCTTTTTAGATGTTGGCATTTGCGCATGTGTCTTAAAACTTGGTGTAAATTTTGGTAATATTTACTTTTTAATTGCTTAAAGATATAAAAAAGAAGTGTACTTTAATAAAAATTTATAGTGTATATAATTTGAATGTTTATAATTAAGTGAAATAATTGGTGATTTTGTGTTTTGGGGGTGTATAGAATCAAATCAACACTCTGGAAATTTTGATTGAAGATGACAAGCAGAAGAGCATTCAAATAGAAATTCTTAAGCATGAAAAAACGCAGCTTATTTCTGAGCTAGCAGCCAAGGAGTCACTGATCTATGGTTTAAGGACAGAACGAAAAGTATGGGGACATGAACTAGCACATCAGGGTAAGTCTCAAGTTTTTAGATGGAACATAGCCATTGTGAGAAAGCAATACATGTCGATATTGAAGTAAAAAGGTGTTTCCCTGCCTCTGAAATGTAAGGTAAAAGCAGTGCTTTATCTGGTAGGATAAATACGCATTTACCAGCCAGAGAGGAACACACACCTCTCAGGAAGTAAGAAATCATTCCAGCAGTTAAGTTGTTAAAGTGCCCAGGCATGGCAGTACATGTCTGTAGCTGCTGCTGCCCTGGAAGCTGAGAAAGAAAAGAGCAGATGAGGGAATGGTAGCTTTGATACTTTTATTCTATTTGAATTTATTTTTCACCGATATATAAAAACAGTAAAAATTTATATTTTCACGGGATACTGTGGTGATACTCCTCTATATTAATACTAACATCTAAAATGAGTATTCATATTTGTGACATTTACAGTATTTTGCATGGAAAGAAGTAAAATTTTGTATGAATGAAAACCTATATACATTGTAGGTAAATTCTTAGTCTTGTTTTTTTTCTGATTGTTACTTAGCAAAGGAAAGTTGAAAACCATATCTCAACATTTACAAATAGCTTGGAAATTTTGAATTGTTAGGTACTGTTTAAAACAAAGTATTATTTATTTATTCTATAGTAATTTCTAATGTGGTTGTTCGCTCCATCTTACCTATATAGGATCTATAATAGCTGAAATATTTAGAAAGCTTTCCTTCTAAATTCCTGTTGATTTGCATTATTGTTTGCTTTGGGTTTTCAATACGATTTTTCTGTTTTTCTCCTTATTAGGCTAGGTTTTCATAAAGCACAAAAATTCCCAAGGTGTGTTGTTTCTAACTGGCATTTGTTTCTTAGGATCGTCACTAGCTCAGAGTCGTGGGAAATTAGAAGCCCAAATTGAAAGTTTATGCAGAGAGAATGAATCTCTGAGAAAAAGCCATGAAAGTGACTGTGATGCCTTAAGAATAAAGTGCAAAATCATCGAGGACCAAACTGAAACCATCAGAAAATTAAAAGACGTAAGCTTAATGTTTTCTTTTGGGAAAAAGGCTGATGTCATATTTAAAAATAATAATTAATATTTTTAATCTTCAATTGTTGTAGATTTTTATTTTGTTTGGTTTTGGGCTTTTAGGTTTTTTGTCTTGTTTTGTTTTGTTTTTCAAGACAGTGTTTTTCTGTAGCTTTGGAGCCGGTTTTGGAGCTCTATCTGTAGGCCAGACTGGCCTCGACCTCCCAGAGATCCACCTGTGTCTGCATCCTGAGTGCTGAGACTAAAGGCGTGCACCAGCACCACCCAGCTAACTGGTGTCGATTTTAAAGAGAGAAAGAATATCATGTATCCTTTTAAAGTTTTTCACCTTGCACTCAAAAGTACTATGTGGTACTTATTAAATTGAATCTTAATTTGATTTTGTTGTTGTTGTTGTTTTTACTGTTTTTTGAGACAGGGTTTATGTATCTATGTATTCCTGGGTGGCAAGGAAACAAACTAACCTGAAACTCACAGAGATCTGCCTGCCACTGCCTTGAGTGCTGTGGCCCAATGGCTTATTATTGCCATTGAAATAACAGAACATGAGGCATCTGTAAAAGATTAGCCATAACAAGAAAATTTAGTATTATATATAATGTTATGTTCAATATCCTTTTAGGTCTTAAGTTTTACCATATGCAACATCTAAAATAAATTACTGATTTTTTTTTAAAGTGTTTACAAGAAAAAGATGACCAAATCAAATTATTACAAGAAAAGATCACTTTCGTAGAAAAATGTACTCAAGAGCAACTTAGTGAAAAATGTTCACAACTAGATAATGTGATTGAAAAATTAGAAAGACACAATGAGAGAAAGGAAAAACTAAAACAACAGTTGAAAACAAAGGAATTAGAACTTGAAGAAATCAGAAAAGCTTACAGGTATTGTATAATACTTGCCACTGAGAAAGTTTTAGATTAATGATTTCATGTTCTTCGCTTTTAAAGTTATTTCCTGTCTTTTTAGCACATTAAATCAGAAATGGCATGATAAAGGAGAACTACTCTGTCATCTTGAAACACAAGTAAAAGAAGTCAAAGAAAAATTTGAAAACAAAGAAAAGAAACTTAAAGCAGAGAGAGACAAAAGCCTTGAGCTACAAAAGTAAGCATTAAGTCATGAAGGATGTGGGATCCCTTTAAACATACATACTGCACAGGCTTGGTAAAACACATGCAAAGAAAGAAAAAGATGCCAAAGTAATGGCGGACATAACTAATTTGCTAAGAAAATTATTTTCATGCCATCTATAAAATAGAAAGTAATAGTCCCCCCATAACTTGATAAATATATATTTCTCCATATAGCGTAGTCCCTGAACGATAGTAATTATTATATGTACATTTTATTACTAACATTACTGTCACTATCTGAATAAAATCTTGCATGGTGTAAATGGAATTCAGATAGTCACTTGAGTGTCAAGAGCAATGTAGATTTAAATAACAATTAGCCTGCATAAACTGAGGAAGAGAAATGATTTTAAAAGAGATCAAAAAAAAAACTACATAGCTAACTGCAATTTTTTTAGTTTCATTCTAAAAAAATACTCAGTAGGAAATAAGGATTTACCTTTTAATATATAAATCTATTTTAAAGATAATTTGTAAGATAGAGGTTTCTGTGGGAAGTGGGTATTATAATTTAATTGCTGGTTCTGATTTCAAGATGCAGAGTGTTATTAATAACAGTCTGCAGATGACTTCTCACTGCACCTAAGAAAAAGCCCACTTAATCTGTGTACCCATCTGCATGGGGTATTTTCTCTTTTTTTTTTAAAGGGATGCACTAGAAAAGCTTCAAAGCATGGATGATGCTTTTAAAAAACAAGTTGATGCAATTGTTGAAGCTCATCAAGCTGAAATAATACAACTAACAAACGAGAAGCAGAAATATATTGATTGTGCGAATTTAAAGGTACTGTGAGTTAAGATTTACTTTAAAAATCAATATTAAATGATTATAGTTAAAAAATTAGATTTTTGAAAATTAGAAGAAGCTACACATTTTAATGCTATAACTACTGAAGAACACATTGTCAAAGTTGTCCTGCATCCAGGCACCACTTGGGTCATTTCTCGGTAATAACTCCAGTGAACCAAGTCCTAAGTTAGATCCCAGTTGCACTTGTCCACGATCTTGGCAGTCTTCTGTGAATTTCCCTTTGGTTATGGCAAGGAAAAAGTGTAAATGAAGTCTACCACTGCCTTGAGAAAGTTCTCGGCTATCGCTTTCCTATTCATTGGGTCTTAAATTAGTCAGCTTTGTCATCTTGATGAGAATGAGTTCCTGGTGCTGCCAAATCAGACATCAGGTACTTTACCTCAGAAGGAAAATGGTCAAACCAAGGTATTCTAACAATCACACAAGCATTCCAATATGGCCACTCTGTTGAGATCCACAAGATTCAAAAATACGTAAAAACTTTTCATTAATTTTCAAGTAGTAATGGAAAAAAGCAAACAGAAGGAGGGTGTGTAAGATTCATAAATGAGCAACCAAAAAGCGTTCAAAGGCAGAAAACACAGTGGTGTGTGCTTATCCTGTAATCTTAGTATTTAAGATGAGGGAGGAAAATCAAATGTTCCTGCCAGAGTGGGCTAAATAGAAAGATATCCAAAAAAAGGGGAGGAACTGGAAAGATGGCTCAACTGTTAAGAGCACTGAACAATCATGAGGCTCAGAGTTCAGATACTGTTATCCACAGAGCAAAAGTCAGGTTACCACACCCTATAAATGCCAGTAACTCCAGCTCTGAGGGATCCACTGCCCTAATCTGACCTCAACATACATTCACATACTCATGTAGACACATACCAACTCTTGCACACATAAATAAGTAAGTCTTAAAGACAGACACAAAATCATTCTCAATTAGAATGTAGTTTAAGTAAGTTTATAGGAATAACGACTAAGTTATTTCACTTGATGAAGTCAGTGGTGGTTTCAGATATTTTATTTAATATCATATAAAAGTGCTGTGGGCAATAAAACAGGAATTAGGCTTTTGGCTGAAAATACTGAGGATGATGTTGGACCTACTACCAACATGATTTTGTAAAGAGTTGAAGAAATGCTTTCTTTTTTTATTACTTTATAAATAATACCAATCAAAATTCCCACTTGCTCCCCTCCTCCCACTTCTCTCCCGCTCCCCCATGCTCCCTCCAGTCCAAAGAGAGGGCAGGGTACCCTGCACTGTGGGAAGTCCAAGGTCCTCTCCCCTCCATCCAGGCTCAGGAAGTTGTGCATCCAAATAGACTAGGATCCCAAATAGCCAGTACATGGAGTAGAAACAAATCCCAGTGCCATTATCATTGGCTTCTCAATCTGCCCCAATTGTCAGCCACATTCAGAAGGTCCAGTTTGATCCCATGCTTGTTCAGTCCCAGTCCACCTGGCTTTGGTGAGCTCACATTATTTCAAGCACACTGTCTCAATGGGTGGATCAACCCCCCCGCCCCGTGGTCCTGACTTCTTTGGACATATTCTCCATACTTCTGCTCTTCAACTGGACCTTGAGAGCTCAGTCTATTACTCCCATGTGGGTCTCTATCTCCATCTGTCGCCAGTCGAAGATTCTATGGTGATATTCAAGATAGTCATCACTCTGACTACAGGACAAAGCCAGTTCAAGAACCCTCTCCTTCACTGCCCAGGGTCCGAGCTGGGGACATCCCTGTGGACTCCTAGGAACCGCTTGGAGTCAAGCCTCTTGCCAACCCCACAATGCCTCCCTTAAGATATCTTCTTCTCTGCTACCATATCTGTCCTTCCTCCATCTGAACCATCCCACTCCCCCAAGCTCTTCCCACCCCTCCCCTTCTCCCTTCTCTCTCCCTCTCAACCCCTCCCCCCACCACACCCACACCCCCATGCTCCCAACTTTTGCCTGGCAATCTTGTCTGCTTCCAATTTCCAGGAGGATCTATATATGTTTTTCTTTGGGTTCACCTTATTACTTAGGTACTCTAGGATCGCGAACTATAGGCTCAATGTCCTTTGTTTATGGCTAAAATCCACTAATGAGTGAGTACATACCATATTCATATTTTTGGGCCTGGATTATCTCACTCAGCATAGTGTTTTCTACTTCCATCCATTTGCATGCAAAATTCAAGATGTCATTGTTTTTTACCACTGGGTAGAACCCTAATGTGTAGATGTCTCACAATTTCTTTATCCATTCTTCCATTGAGGGGTATCTAGGTTGTTTCCCGGTTCTGGCTATTACAAATAATGGTGCTATGTACATAGTTGAACAAATGCTTTTGTAGTATGATTGGGCATCATTTGTGTATATTCCCAAGAGTGGTATTGCTGGATCCTGAGGTAGGTTGACTCCTAATTTTCTGAGAAACCTCCACACTGATTACCAAAGTGGTTGCACAAGTTTACATTTCCACCAGCAATGGATGAGTGTTCCCCTTACTCCAGATCTTCTCCAGCATAGGTTACCATTGGTGCTTTTGATTTTAGCCATTCTGACAGGTGTAAGATGGTATCTCAAAGTTGTTTTGATTTGCATTTCCCTCAGGAAGTTGAACATGTCCTTAAGTATCTTCCAGTCGTTTGAAATTCTTCTGTTGACAATTCAATGTTCAGTTCAGTACCCAATTTTTAATTGGGTTATTTAGAGTTTTAATGTCTAGTTTCTTGAGTTCTTTATATATTTTGGAGATCAGACATTTGTCTGATGTGGGATTGGTGAAGATCTTCTCCCATTCAGTGGGTTGCCTTTTTATCTTAATGACAGTGTCCTTTGCTTTACAGAAGCTTCTCAGTTTCAGGAGGTCCCATTTATTCATTGTGCCTCTTATTGTCTGTGCTACTGGGGTTATACATCAGAAGTGGTCTCCTGTGCTCATGTATTGCAGACTACTTCCCATTTTCTCTTCTGTCAGGTTCAGTGTGGTCAGATTAATATTGAGGTCTTTAATTTATTTAGACTTGAGTTTTGTGCATGGTGACAGATATGGATCTATTTTCATTCTTCTACAGGTTGATATCAGTTATACCAGCATCATTTGTCAAAGATGCTTTCTTTCTTCTATTGTATACTTTTAGCTCCTTTGTCGAAAATCAGGTGTTCATAGGTTTGTGAATTAATATCCGGGTATTCAATTTGATTTCATTGGTCAACGTCTCTATTTTTATGCCAATACCAAGCTGTTTTCATTACTGTGGCTCTGTAATAGAGTTTGATGTCAAGGATGGTAATGCCTCCAGAAGTTCCTTTATTTTATAGGATTGTTTTGGCTATCCTAGGTTTTTTGTTCTTCCATATGAAGTTGATTATTGTTTTCTAAAGGTCTGTGAAGAATTTTATTGGAATTTTGGTGGGGATTGCATTGAATGTATAGATTACTTTTGGTATGGTTGCCATTTTTACTATGTTGATCTTCCTATCCAAGAGCATGGGAGATCTTTCCATTTTCTGGTATTTTTTTCAATTTCTTTCTTCAAAGACATAATTCTTGTCAAATAGGTCTTTCACTTCCTTGGTTATAGTGTTACCCCAAGATATTTTATGGCATTTTTTGTGGCTGTCGTGAAAGGTGAAGTTTCTCTGGTTTCCCTCTTAGCTTCTTTATCCTTTGTGTGTAGGAAGGTTACTGATTTTTTTTTTTTTTTGAGTTGATCTTGTATCCTGCCACATCACTGAAGGGATTTATCAGATGTAGGAGTTCTCTGGTAGAGTTTTGGGGGTCACTTATATATACTATCATATCATCTGCAAATAACGAAAGTTTGACTTCCTTCCAATTCAAATCCCCTTTATCTCTATATGTTGTCTTATTGCTATTGCTAGAACTTCACGCACTATATTGAAGAAGTATGGAGAGAGTGGACAGCCTTGTCTTGTTCCTAGTTTTAGTGGAATCGCTTTGAGCTTCTCTCCATTTAATTTGATGTTAGCTGTCGGCTTGCTGTATATTGCTTTTATTATATATTAGATATGATCGTTGTATCCCTAATCTCTCCAAGACCTTTATCATAAAGGGGTATTGAATTTTGTCAAATGCTTTTTTGGCATCTAATGAAATGATCATTTGGTGCTTTTTTTTCTTTCATTTTATTTATATGATGGATTACATTGATAGATTTTTGTGTGCTGGACCAGCCCTGCATCTCTGGGATGAAGCCTACTTGATTATAACAGAAGAGGGGTTTTTGGTTTTTGGTTTTTTTGTTTGTTTGTTTTTTGTTTGTTTGTTTGTTTGTTTTTGATGTTTTCTTGGATTTGGGTTTGCTAGAATTTTTGAGAATTTTTGCATTGGTGTTCATGAGTGAGATTGGTATGTAGTTCTCTTTCTTGTTTGAGCCTTTTTGTGGTTTTGGTATCAGAGTAACTGTAGCTTCATAAAAAGAGTTTGGCAATGACTCTTTTTGTTTCTATTTTGTGGAACACATTAAGGAGTATAGGTATTAGCTCTTCTTGGAAGTTCTGGCAGAATTCTGCACTATGACTCTCTGGCCCTGGGCTTTTTTTGTTGGGAGGTTTTTGATGACAGCTTCTATTTCCTTGCGAGTTATAGGTCTATTTAAATTGCTCACCTGGTCTTGATTTACTTTTGGTACATGGTATTTATCTAAAAAATTGTCCATTTCTTTTACATTTTCCAATTTTGTGGAGTAAAGGCTTTTGTAATAAGAACCAATGATTCTCTGAATTTCCTCAATGTCTGTTGTTATGTCCATCTTTTCATTTCTGATCTTGTTAATTTTAGTGTTCTCTCTCTGCCTTTTGATTAGTTTGGATGTGGGTTTGTTCATCTTGTTGATTTTCTCAAAGAATCAGCTCTTTGTTTCGTTGATTCTTTGGATTGTTTTCTGTATTTCTGTTTTGTTGATTTCAGCCCTCAGTTTGATTATTTTCAGTCTTCTACTCCTCCTAGGTGAGTCTGCTTCTTTTA